AAAGTGAGAAAGCACTCCCAGGGGAGGTGGTCATGCCACGATCCCTTCTCCTACACGCTCCTCTCAGAATTTTGAGCATGCACACACACACACCTGATGTTTTTCAAACTGCCAGGTCCAGAACTTGAGCCATGCTGTCAGCCATGGGGGATCCAGCTGTCTCAATCACATCACTGGCTGATCTATATTAGATTTTTAAAAATGTTCTTTAAAAGATACAAAGCTAGGGCAGACTTGGAGGCACACTGCTCAAGTGAAGCTAGATGCAGATGAAAAATCATGGGTTTGGTTTCCCAGCAAACGGCATAGTAGCTAAAGCACTGGACCCCCACTTGGTCGACTGCAGTTGAATCCCGGATCTGGTGGCTTGAAACTCACATTAGGTGTGTGTAGGTATGTCCCCCCCAAATCCCAGGAGGAGAACAGAGGAGAAGGGATTGTAGCATGGCCATCCCCCATGAGAGGTGCTTTCTCGCTTTCTGTCTCTGTCTCTCCAGTGAACGCACATGCCCTTTAGCAAAAATCTCTCTCAAGATAAAATTGAAATTAAAGAATAACAACAACAAATGGAATTAAATAAATAATTATTTTAAAAAGATAGAAAGGAAAACCCAGTATACCTGAGTCCATCTCCCAAATTATTTGGAAATTCTGCTGGGCATCTGCAGAAAGTTCAATGAGCTGGGGACCTTGGGTTTAGCCTGCTGAGGGTTAGTGCTCCCTGGCCCTGACAGTGGGAAGCAGAATGGGAGATGCCCTTCTGGCTCCGCCCTCCCAGAGTGGCGACCTTCAGCTGATGCGCCTTGGTTGATTCCAGGCTCCCTGTTCCAAATATGGGGAGACTTGTTTGTGGCCTAACCTCTTCCCGGGAGTGTTTTAAGGATAAAATGTCATGTACTAAAGAGCTTTGGGAAAGGAGCTCTATAAATATATGAGATTACTGTTCCTAAAGACAGCTGGTGTGTTTTCAGAGGAAGGCCCGAATGATCCCACAGAGACCCGAGACAACTTCTCTGCCAGGGCATCTGGGGAAAATGACCAGCACCGCTCATAAAGCATGCAAACTGTTCCCCTGATACGGAGGGCCAGATGGCAGAGGCCGTGGGCCTCCTGAAGAGCTGCCTTTCCTCCCTCAGAGGGCACAGGGCCAGGTTGGGAGGACTCAGGGAACCAGGAGTTCTAGTTCCTGTCCCAGGGATAAACCCAGGGACCTACCGCAGTTAACTGAACTTCTCTCACTTGGGTTTTTCCTTTTTACTTGCGAGGGCATGCATGTGCTTGCCAGAGACACAAAGACGGGGTGGGGAGTAAAGCACCCCCGATGGGGCATGGTCATGCCACAAATCCCTTCTGCATATCTCCATCTTGTCAGGATTTGGGGGCACGCACGCACACTTGCCATGTTTTTCAAGCAGCTGGGGCCGGGATTCAAACCACAGTCAGCCGTGTGGGATCTGGCTCTCATTGACCACTAGGTCATGGGGCTGGGCCACTTAGGTTTTCTCTCTAAAAAGTACAGGTATGTGCACAGTCCTTTTCTTTTCTAAGAACTATTTTATTTAACTTTATTTATTTACTTAGTTTAATTTGACCAGAGAGGGACAGAGCAAGAGCAAGAGTGAAGGGAAGAAAGAAGACAGGTCTGGGACCTGAACCGTGGTCAGCCATGTGGGAGTCCAGCACCCTTAGCCACCACGCCACCTACCAGCCCCCAGTTCTTTTATTCTTTAAAAAATATATAACTATTTTTATTTAACTTTATTTATTTCATCTTGACCAGAGAGGGACAGAGTGAGAGCGAGAGAGAGAGAGAAAGTGAGATACCAAGCTGCCAAGTCCAGGACTTGAACCACCATCAGCCGTGTGGGAGTCCAGTGCTCTTGACCACTACGCCACCTGCTGGCCCCATTCCCTTTCTCACAGGGGTGTTATAGGGCTGTGCGAAGACACATAATCTATCCCTAAATATTCCACTTTGTAGATTATTGACAGTTAACAGTTAACTTCTGCCACTTCCAGTCCTTTTAAAAACAAAAAAACGTTTTTAATACTTATTTTTTTATTTAACTTTTTTTATTTTAATTTGACCTGAGTGGGATAGAGTGTGTGTGTGAGAGAGAGAGAGAGAAGAAAAGTGAGAAAGCAAGCACCTGGGTCCAGAATTTGAACACGGTCAGCCATGTGGGAATCCAGTGCCCTAACTACCATGCCACCTGCCACCCCCCCCTTAACTTTTTTACTGTTGAATTCCAAAAGAGTTTTCTGTCTGATTGTACCTCAAATCACACTCGTGGAACCTCTCTCTTGCCATAGGGTAAGAGGTGCACAGGAAGTAAGAGCCTGAGTGACAACGGCGAAGGAGCTGGGTCTGATACTCTGACCAAAGGAGATGTAAGTGCAACCCGCCCTGAACCAAAAACATGGCACTTGGGGAAATTTGCGCGCTCGCCCCCTCCCCTCTCCACGTAGCAGGGAATTAACTGCAGGTGAAAGTCCTTTGGTCTTCAGAAACCTAGGCCGCCCAGGGTTAGCGATCAACCACACTTCTGTTGGAACTTGTCTGGTATTTCACATGGATGGGCCCTCTTATACGCTAGCAGGGTTACTAGTCAGATTTGGCACCCTCAGTTCCTGTGACCCCGCAGGTAAGTATGCCACCCTGAACAAGCTGGCAGCTTATAACACATTTCCAGGTTATCTCCAAGGTGAGCAAAATGCCTCACTTGCAAGCCACCCTCCTGCCATGTGTTCTCACTTGAGCTGACCGGAGCGGGGCGGGTGGGGTGGTAGGGAGCACGGTCAGGCAGTTGAAAGCCCCTTCCTGCTTGGCAGCGAGCTCCGTCTCCTGCTTTCATCTTCCTACGGTCTCCGGCTCAAGCCTCACCTTGCCCGGACACCTTCCTTCATGTTATCCCTGCATTTTTGAGTTGCAATGATTTGTTTTCGTCTCCTTATTAGACTGAATCCCTAGAGGGGAAGTATGAGTCCTACTTAACTTTGAACTTCCAGCAAGTCCACAGCGCGTGACAGACATGCAGAAGGAAGCAAACATCGGACAAGTCATCAGGGGAGGGATGCACCAGACCTGGGCTCCCAGCCACTGGTGCTAGGGCAGGCTTGTTTGTGTTGTTTTTTTATGAACAATTATTATCTTTAAATGTGCCATAGGGCATGTGCACTCACCAGAGACAGAGCGGTAGGAGAGAGAGAAAGTGAGAAAGCAAGCCGCCACGTCTGGGACTTGAACCATGGCCGGTTATGTAGGAATCCAGTGCCTTAATTGCTATGCCACCTGCTGATGTTCCAGACAGGCTTGTTTTTAAGGGCTATTTCTTTAGTACCAGGTGGAAGCCATGCTAAGCTGCTGCACACTGTCTTGCTGTTGGTGACTTAGCATTAGGTGTTTTTTTAAAATTTTTGTTATAGGGTGTGTACTCGTCAGAGACATAAAGTAAGACATCTCCTGGGAGATGACCACTCTGCAATCCCTTCTCTTCCAGTCACCCCTCCAGATTTGGGGCACACATGCCTGGTGTGAGTTTTTCTAAGTCACTGGGCCAAGTCACTGGGTCCGGGACTCAAACTGTGGTCAACTACGTGGGGGTCCGGTAATGTAACCATTACGCCATCTGGTTCCACATTAAGTTAAAAGACAGCTTGTTGGGAATGGGGGTGGTGGTGGAAGGGACTGGTCTCAGAGCTGGGAAGATCTTTCAGGGAACAGGCCCCAATGCTGATCAACGGCAGGTCCCTGGCCCTCCTGACGCTCTAATGCCCTAGGCAATCCTCAGAACGCTGGACTATCACAGGGAAGCAGCTGATGCAACCTCAGGATGAAGAAAACAGGGGAGAGGAGGTGGAGAAAGGAAAGGAGTTCAGCCAGGTGTACTTTAAAACCTCCCCTCTTGAGGAGTTCAGCATGAGAGGAGCCTTTCAGGGCTGGGCTGCAGCGACATCTGGGCCCCCAGAGAGTGAGATGAGTGCAAGTGAGGCAGGGCTTGAA